ATACGGGAAACCCCTCATTCAGAGATTGTGATCACTATTTCTTTTTATCTCAGGCAGGGGAAGCACCCATTTAACTTCTTGTGTATTTTTAATTCAGATACTACCCTTCTCAATGTATGGAAGAGTATGCTGACAGAATTAGAACAGTCCAGTGAATACACAACAAAACTTTTCTAACGTGTGAAGCTTGCAAATGGCAAAGTGGTGTTCTATATGCATTTATAAAGGTTCCAATATGTGAATTTGAACAAAGGTTTATGGCTGCCACCGTGGAGTAATTGAAGGCTGGCAGTGTACTGAGTTCCTATGCTATGCCACCAAAACATTCAGGGTTATAGTTTCATTCTCCCAAGTGGATAAAAGAAGAAATCGCACCAAAATAATAAAAATCATGAACAAGCTGAAGAACATGAAAGCCTCTTCTTCTTTTATCTTAACATTCAGATCACAGCATGAAATTATATTCAAAACAATCCTAACATTTTTGCTTGCATTGTCAATCAAAATACCAAAGCTCCCAGAACCTCTCACCACAGGAGCTCGTTCAATCTTTGTCACTAGCCTGGCTCTTTGACTGAATAGCTCATCATTAAAGAGTCATTAGGACTCTATCCCATAATCCCACTTTATCAGTCTTAAGTCTACCTGTTCTGATGATACCACCTTCTGCAGGGGAGCCTCAGAAATGTCCACCTTTTACTGCAACCAAGGATTCCTTGCCACCATGGTTGAAAGAACCCTTAGCCAAGTCCAGCCTGTCTTCCTCACCTCTGCCATCAACCCTTCCCATCCTTTCCTCGATAACGATAGTGTTCCGTCATCCTCAATTACCATCCCAACAGCTTCCCCGTTCAAAGGATTGTAAGCGGCCATTTCCGTAATTGCAGTGGAATACCAGAACCAGACGCATATTCCTCTTCCCTCCTTTGTCAGCATTCCGCAGGGATCATTCCTTCTGGGCCACCCTGGCCAACTCCTCCTTTGCTCCCAACATCTTCTCAGACCCCAAGGCACCTTCTCATGCAATGGCAGAAGGTGTAATACCTGCCTGTTTACCTCCTCACTATCCAAAGTCCCAGACATACCTTCCAGGTGAAGCGGTGATCTACCCGCTTAGTGTGGTCTCCTCTACATTAGGTAGATGAAACGCAGACTGGGTGACCACTGTGCAGGATGTTGTCTGTATAAACGACCCTGAGCTTTCAGCTGCCTGTCGTTTCAACATACCACTTCTGTCACAGGCCTGCTGCAGTGCTCCAGTGAGCCATAGTGCAAAGCTTGAAGAACACCATCTCATTTTCCAATTGGGGACCCTCAAGGGCTCAACATTGAGTTCAAATAAGTTTAGAGCCCAATTCTGTTCTTGCATTTTTAAAAAAAAACTTTTTACTTCAAACCTCACAACGTGTCACAGGTTGCTTTTAGCACAGCCAACCTATTCTCACTCCGTAAGGTTTATCACATTACATGGGTTGTTTTCAACACAGCCTACCCATTCTCCCCTACTCTCAGCTTTCATTATCACTTACTAAGCTTCTCTTATGCCCTGGTGCACTATTAATAATCCCCTTTGCCCACCCCTTTCAAGTCTCTCTCTGGGCTCAGTCTCTACCGATCCTCTCAGCATCCACTCCACCCCACCATCCCCCAACTCCCACACTCACAACCTTGTCTTCAGCATAAATACCACTTTATCCTAGCGTTATCAATTCTGATGAAAAATCACCAGACTCTAAACATTAACTCTTTCTCCCCATAGATACTGCCAGACCTGTTGAGTTTTGCCAGGAACCTCTGTTTTTGTTTCATATGTCTAGCATCCACAGTTCTTTGTTTCATTTACTACTCATTTTGTTCAACTCTCTGTACCCTATATTTCCATATCCCCATAAATTGTTTCCTTTTCAAAAATTCCATTTTGAA